GGAGGATTTTCCGTACAAACTGATATTTCCCAGACTTTCTCTATGAATTTATCGTCACTTTGTTGAACTAGAGTTTCAAGAAAGTTCAGTCTATCTCGTGTTAACGGCAAGAAGCATTGCACAACCTGAAACTGACCATTTGATCGAGTTGGGAAGGTATCACCAGACTGCTTGGGGGCGGTACAAATGACAAATATGATTGCATTGGTTTACTGCTACTATAACAAACGGTAACAATAGTAAAAACCCACGCGTTCTTTATCGTGCTATTCCGATGACGTAAATCGCCCTGGAAATGCTTTTCACCCTCGGCGTGACATCTATTCATAGCGCTGGACAGGAAGTTTTGCCAAGTGATAAGGGACGACGAGGAATGTGTACCCACCTGTTTGGGTTTAAATATCCCGTTTTCGCTCATCTTTCGATTCTGGCAACGTTTTGTGTAGTTTTTGTGATTTGACAAGTCTTTAAACCCTTCGGAGTTCGGTAAAAATTGTGCCGGCAGGGTCAAAACTATGTCCTCATTTTCCCTCTCATTTCTTTTGAATCATTTGTACTTATCCCATCACCTCTCTACCTCCCCCTTCCCTCGCCAACGATTTCTTCCGGAGTGTTATGGGTAATGGGTGGTACTTAGAAATCAATTCACGTTGTCTTACTAATAGAGCCAGTTTCCTTGGCGTCATACTTGACGGTGTCTGTTAGTCATCGTAGTAAGGAGCTACTTCTGGCATGTGCGTAACATGACCTGATTCTTCTATCGGAGTTCATGAGATCAGATATCAGACACACAAACAGCATCCCAGACCACTGACTAGCCGAAAACTGAACTTTCCCAGAGGACCGGTCACGCCACTCTCGGATTCCATATCGGCAAGGAACGGCATTCACAGATCTCCCACTCATTGCTTCATTACCCATACCGGCGTTGTTGTATCCGTTGTGCTCAGTTCTTCGGATTAGCTACAACGTTGAACCTTGGTTTCAGGAAGGCATCTATGGCCACTTGGACAATCCAGGCTCTTTCATTGGCACTGTGCCTTTCTTCAGGATTTCAACAGGGCTATATTGCATCTGTTCTCAATCAACCGTATATTCAAATCCAAAAATTCATCAACCAATCATGGATTCATCGAACTGGACGTCCTATGGAATCAACGACATTGGTTAGTTTGTTTGCGCCATTGTTTACTCACAGGTAAGGTAAGGTTAAGGTATGTTTATGATGGAATGGCTGCAGTTTTATCCATGTTATAACTCGAGTGAATATTTGAGAAGGGCATTCCGTTTGGTCATCTTGAGGCATCTTTTTGCCCCTACAATTTTGATTGGGAATTCCCTTGTCTAAGGATGCGATGACTTGCTTCGGCATTTGTAATAAATAAATAAATGAATAAATAAATAAACAAAACTGTGGTATGATTGCGTAATTTTTAGGACATGCTATGGTCTTTTCTCAACATCTGCTTCCCGATAGCAATGATTTTCGGACAGTTCTTGGCAGCGTTCCTCTGTAAGAAGATTGGTAGGAGATACACGGCCCTGTTGGCTAGTGCCCTCTACATCCCAGCCACACTTCTCAGCGCTGCATCGAAGCTCTGCTTCCCCGCATTTGAACTGTTGTATGTTGGAAGGATTCTGTGGTAAGATTTGGAAACTTTTCATAAAAAGTCAAAGACCCCTGGAAAAAATCAACCAGTTCAGGTCCCTTGCCAATGGGATAAACAGTGTCAATGCAACGATCTGGATTGTGGAATGTGCACCTCCAGCGATACGTGGCCGTATGGCTGCAGCTCAGGAACTCTTCATGGCCATCGGTGAGAAAGAAATTTTCTTTCAGCCTAGAAATGCTTGAAAAACTCCCGAAAGACTAAGCAGCCATTGGCTTCACCCAAGGAAATTGTCTACACACCAAAAGGGTGTCAACCGTCATTTTGATGTTTTGAACCATTTTGAAAATTTGAAAAACCAGAAACCTCAGAAACCTTCGAAAAAGTAATCATAAGCCTAGATATGTTCAGGCGCTTTGATAACCCAAGCTCTGGGTGTTCCGTTTGCAACCGATTCTATGTGGCCATGGATCTTTCTACCCAACGTCGCTTTTGTGATTGTGTCGATGGTCATGTTTGCCTTCCTACATGATTCACCTCAGTACATCATACAGAAGACAGGAGACCCGGAACAAGTAAGCGTATGGGTTAACCACCCATTAAACTATAGAAGCGTAATCGTGCTTATAGGCTAGGAAAGCTCTGGCTGCCTATCACGGAGTCGACGTTTCCGATTCATCGCTTGACATCGAAATCCGTATCTGTGAAGAGGCATTGACGAAGAAAAAGTCCAAGAAAGAGGTCAGTGTTCTTTTGAGATCTCACGTTAAAGGATAGAGGATAAAGTTTTTGGCGTTAATCAATTCCGTCTGAGGGATGCGCCCCCGCACTCGACTTCCATTCAGAATCGTAGTGGTGTAATGAGTGCGAATGTGACCTATACAATGACTTGCGGTGGTCAGCCGATGCACAAGTCAGTGCTTTTATCCTCCCAGACGTGTCTGG